CCATCGTTAGTGTTACCACTGCCTTGATTATTACTATCACCCTCGTTAGTGTTACCACTGCCTTGATTATTACTATCACCATCGTTAGTGTTACCACTGCCTTGATTATCAGCATCACCATTATTGATGAATTTACCCTCCGCACTGCTTAGTGGCTGTTCTGTACTTGTACCGTTGTTGGCTAATTTACCTTTATCACCCTCGCCATGACCTGACTCACCACCGCCAGCATCGCCTGACTGCTTAGTGCTTGTGTCATCGGTCCCTGCTTGGCCATTATCACTGGCATCTGGCTGACTAGAAATATTGTTACCTGTTTTGTCGGTTCTACGATCGTCTGGGTTATCAATATCCCCCTTACCTGAGGCGTCAATCTCGCTACCACCTGGCTGTCTAGGGAAACTGCTGTTGTCTGACCGGCTAGTAGTATTGCTACCTGGCTGTCTAGTGCTAATATTATTACCACCGCTGCCCGGGGACTGATCTGTAGCTCCACTGCCACCATTTCTGGAACCCGTGCCAGTTCTGTCTGGTCGGCTAGTCCCATTGTCACCAGCCCGAGTAACAGTAGAGTTTCCTTCTTTAGTTGTGTCACTTCTGTCAGTACCATCATTGCCAGTACGGTCTGCATTACTGTCGCTGTGCTGTTGGCCATCCCTATTACCATCACTGGCATCTGGCTTACTACTGAGTGTAGCGCTGCCAGGTTGGCTAGATCCTCTGCTTCCTGGTGATTCATCTTCATTGCCGTTACCACTACGGGGTTTGGTAGCAGCGTCTCCGCCCTGACGCCCTGTGTCTCCTTTGTTCGATTGACTGGCGTTGGCACTTCCTGGTGAGTCGGTGCGTGAATTGTCAGGCCTTACGTTGCCGCCACTACCCTTTTCTGTTGTGGCCGCATATGCTAGAGTATTTGTGTTTAAGAATGGCCTGGTACCCGCAGATGAGCCTTCACCCGTGTCTGTGTTCCCTTGCTTGTCTTCCGTGCATCCCACCGACAAGTAGACTGTTGCGTTGATGCAGTGTCCGCTTGGACACCTGTACTCCCATCTCGAACACTCTATAAAAGTGACGCATATGCCAGAATTACGTATAAAATCTAATATCTGCAGCGGCGCTTTGAGATAATCAGGATACGAGTGACGTCAGACAGACCATGATGAGCTTCTCTCATACGAATCGCAGCGTGATCGAGAGATTAAAATCCAAGTGAGATCTAGAAGCAAGGCGCCGTGCATTACACTTACGTTCGTCATATCGGTCATCGCAGTCATCTATACCATCGTGGTAGAAGGACCTGTCTATGCATTTTCCATTGCGACATATGAACTCCGTCTCTGAACAGATATGAGCTACAAGAAACAGGAGCCATCAGCGTCACCAATACTTGCAACGTGCATCGCGAACACAATTTATTTCCACGTTGCCATCGTGCCCTTTATCATCTTATATGTTAGCGCTATTCTGTACAGCATTTTCATTACTGTTATATCTAATTTCTTTCTGCAGACAGCTGTGTCTAGCATGGTGTCTAGCATGGTCGACATGCGTGTTTCGTTCAGCCTATATCGTTGCGAGCTTGTTGTTCTGTCGCCTGCGGACATACGGGCTTCTCGCATAACTTCAACGAGTATTGATGTCTGTCTCTGCGCATACGCGCTGTACACAGTTCCTCTCTATGGCGAATGCGTCCAAAAGCATGTATATTATATTTGAGCATGTTTCATACGTGCACGTTGAATATGCATGTGCCATGGATATCACTATTCGATATATGAGAAGCTCTCGCGTGTCCACTAGTGATGATACAAAATGGATTTGAAATTTATGTAAGGAATATAATCGTAGTTATATCTACAGAACATGTTGAAGTATTTATGCGGTAAGTAAGCGCGTGGACGCTACGTAATCATGCACCTGCTGTAGTAACAGTTCTCCTTGAGTCTCCCGTTGGCATTCGATGCCTGCAGCTCTCTTCAAATGCCTCCTTACCGCCTGAAATTATATTTGCTCTGGAATCCAAGCTGTACGCACGTGCGCGTACGTACGTACGCACGCGCACATAAACTCGCACGCACGCACACTTACACATAGACACACACACACACACACAGACACTCATGCACGTACTTGCGTGCATTGAATTTAACCGTGGTTTCAGCGTATCGTGCTAGCTAATATACTGTAGCATTGGCGAATAATATAGCTATTAATATAGCGAATATATAAATTACGATCATTATCCAACGAATGCGACAAGATGGCCGCAATATTACGAAGCACTATATATATATATATATATATATATATATATATATATATATATATACATATAATAATATAATATAATATGCACGTGCATGCAATAACCTTCATCGCTGTAGTCATCGCATTCTCTCACGCAGTTCATGTAGATGCTAGGTCGCGCGCTGGGGTTCTCCGGCTCGTAGACACACTGACCATCGTTGCACTCGAACCACCACCGCGGACAACCTGTAATCAAGGGGTTAACACACGTGGAGGGTATACCCATCGATTTTCATCCCCATAAATATTTTATTTGGTTTTATATACCAAATCATACACCATCTCGTTGAGTTCCTACGCCGTAGTTCAGTACGAGGCCGTAATGCTGGTGGCAGTGGTATATTGACCCCCGAACCACCTTCTGCTTAAGCTGTGGTGAAATTACGATAGGGCCTACGCCACATACAATCGATTTACGACTACTATTTTATAGAAGGGGGAAGAACAATGCGCTAAGGTTTAGTATCCAAACACGCGCTCTCTCGGTATGTTTGAAGGTAAACGCGACTGACCCTCGTCACTCCCGTCGGAACAGTCCCACTGGCCGTCCCTCCACCATTTCTCGGGTATGCACTCCTGATCCACCGTTAGACATTGGAAGTAGCCGGCTGGACATTCCGTAGCGACTGCCTCTGTAAATAGCAACAAGGCGTTGGGAACTGTTAGCGGGTCGGTGGACGCGTGACGCAGGCGCAGCAGACAACAACGTGTCTAAACGGGCGTTCGCGATTGCTGTAGTACGGAGACGTTCCACCTCTATCCAGCCGCGAATGTCAGTCTTGCTCACAATTGCTGGAATTCTTGATAAATTACAAAACCAAAAGTTTACTGCAATCGTAATAGAAAATCTTCACTACAAGACATTTCTTGTATTAGATATCATGTGAAACAATACGACTGATAGACAAAGTATGAGAATACTAAAGATTGTTTTCACAGAAGGAGACTTTGTATGCTCATAGACGAGTATTAAATATTTATTGTAGCATGCTTATACAATGTATGCAGCGAATAGGCCTATATTGTGACATCGTGAGCGATGCAACATCAGTTGCTGTCATGCAGAAGGACGGGTACAATTACTAGATACCCACATTAAATATTTACACACATTTCTGACAAAAGTAAAAGTGTTCTGGAAAGGTTATGGTATATTGTTAGAGGATAAATCTATACTAGTTTAATCGGAATGACATAACAGCCATTACAGGTAGTGCGTAATATTGACTATATGGCACCAGTGACATTGTGCGACATTAGCGTAAACATATGTCGTAAACATTTATAAATTGCTAGTAGTAAGCGTGAACATTGTCTTTGCTGATACTAGGCATGGTCCATGCAAATAGGACACCACATATTGTTAAGTTAATACCTCGAATTGCATGAATAAGTTAGTATAGTAATCACATTGCAGATAGCAGCGTGTTAATAGTTAATTCTGGCCATGTATAATTATTTCTATGGTAATCTTCTCGCGATGTAGCAACAAAAGCAAAATCAATAACAGCACTAATTATACCCCCGTCATTTACTCGCACAAAACAGCTTATTAACGATTAGTTATAACGACTGCATTCCATTGCATTCACTAATGTTAGAGTGGCTTCTCACTATCGCTAGCACAACTTTCGCTAGATCATGCATGTAGCTTTCTACGACGAACGTCTAACCAATCTTGCTAACTCTTTGCAAGGTAAATTCCAAGGTGCCGTTGGACTATACCTGGCACTACCTGGCGCTCAGTGGATGAAGACGGCATTCGGCGCTGAGCTGAGGTCCCTGTGTCTGTGATTGCTGTATAAACGCCGTAGGGTTAAGATCACGTTCAATAACATTCGCGCATGCAACGTCGATGAGATGTGATGTGTTTACGTGATACGTTTTCAGCAAAGAGAAGAAATGTTGAATAAAATTATTTTACAAAACCGTAAATTGCATTCAAATGATATGTGAACACACAAAGAGACAGAAACTAACAGGAACGCATCTCCCTATCAATCATCAGGATATTATTACATTGGTGCAACACTAAAATGAAATTGCGATATATGGATGGCTTATGATAATGAATTACACGATGTAGAAATAAATTAATTATTGTATAACAAACATATATAAAGTAAACGAATGCAGTACCAAATTAATAAGGTGCCGTTGTCATCCTACTAAAGTGTGGCCGCCATCTACGCATACTCAAGCATGACAATATGGCATAGCATGATGAGCAGAGGGCGAGCTGTTCATGGAATGCAGTGATATTTGAAATATGCTAGACCTAAATGACTCTCGTGTGATGATGCCGAGTACAGTGCCATCTTCACGATCGTGCTGATTTCCGTGCTGCTCATGGATTTAGTGGAGAAAGTAACGCGCTCTCTCTCTCTCTCTCTCTCTCTCTCTCTCTCTCTCTCTCTCTCTCTCTCTCTCTGTCTCTCTCTCTCCTCGCTCTCGTGCTCTTCTCTTGGTCCTCTCTCTCGTTCTCTCTCTCTCCTCTGCTCTCCTCTCCTCCTCGCTCTCTCTCTCTTTCTCTCTCTCGTCTCTCTCTTTACGTCTCTCATCTCTCTATCCTCTCTCTCTCTCTTTCTCTCTACCTCTTCTCTCTCTCTCTCTTTCTCTCTCTCTTCTCTCTCTTCTCTCTCTCTTTCTCTCTTCTCTCTCTCCTCTCTCTCCTTTCTCTCTCTCTCTCTCTGCTCTCTTCTCTCTCTCCTCTCTTTCTTTCCTCTCTCTTCTCGTCTCTCTCTCTCTTCTCTCCTCTCTCTCTTCTCCATCTCTCTCCTATCTCTCTCGTCTCTCATCTCTCTCTCTCTCGCTCTATCTCTGTCTCTCTCTCTCTCCTAAAATCCATGTGCGTTTAAGGCAACCCCCCAGTTGTCTGCGTCTGCCGGCTGTGTCGTGCCTACGTAGCTGTCGTGCCGCAGGTGGATTTTACAGGGTGCGGCAGATTTGCCATGGACAGCTCGCCTATTACTATAACAGCACCCGTTTGCACGAAGCTTACCTTTACCGCACGACCTGCCCACCACAGATTGCGCATCGGCATTTTGCAGAGCAAGAAAATAATAAAATTTTAAACATTTACGTTACAATATTGCGGAGTCGGATAATTTTGATTCGCATTGTGCGATGCATTGCGATTACTAGGAAGGATTATGACTGCGCGTGGGATGTGAGACACGATAAAGGGAATAAGAGGGTGCGTAGGATTCGTTTGGAAGACTGCGTAACCTCCCCAGTTCGCCTGCAGCAAGCAAACTGCGACGGAAATGTATCAGAATCGACAATAATCGGATATACTTTTATCAGTTCCCTGATTCGGTTATGCATGCCACAAAAAAAAATACTGGTCACAGCAATAATATGCGGAACGATATTGGAATAACGGCACCAACAATAGCTTCTCCGTTCGTCTCTCCACCTATTACTGTAATTTAAAAAATTAGCTTCTCATCTGCCTTACACTTTCCCTCTCCCTCTTGGTTTTCTCCCTTCTCTTTTCTCTGCCATGCACACACACGCAACGCCACGCACGCACACACACACACACCACACACACACACAACAGCACACACACCACACAACACCCTCACACACACAGACAGCAACACACACACACACACACACACACACACACCACACACACACACACACACACACACACACACACACACGCACACACACACATATACACACAGACACACGCACGGCACGCGACACCCACGCACGGCATACACCACACGCAGCGCCACACATAACACACAGCGCACACACACACGCACACACACGCACACACACACCTCTCGCCAGGGCGCGTATGCCAGGGATTTTATTTTGGGGGTGGTGGCGGCAATGCATGAGCCACGTGGAAGTGTGGAATCAGGGGCTGCGTAAATCCGTACGAGGAGTGGGGGGCGGGCGACTGATCGGCGATAGCCATCAGCATACTAGCACCCAGAGCGTAAGCCACAAAAAATTTACACACAACGCGCGCGATCAGCGCACGCACGGAACATAACATACACACACACACACAACACTAGAGGCGCGGATCGCAGGCAAATTTTTGAAAAGCGGGTTGTCCAGGGAAAAATAAACGCGCGCACTTTTTTTTGCTTACGTTTTTCTGGGTGTTTTAAAAAAGCTTGCGAAGGCACTTTGGGGGCGTTTGGCGGCGGACCTCCCCAAGATTTTTTTTAAAATTGTCCGTGCATTTCCTGAGCAGCATGCGAGCCAGGTAATGGTGGTGTCTAGAAGCAAAAATTTATCAGATCCGGTCCCCGGACACGCTGCGGACCCCTCATTTGCCCATTTTCTAAGTATTTTTATAACGAATTATACATATTAATATAGAGCGAAATGTTGTATATGCTAGGAATTAAACTGTAGGCGGCTAATACAAGCGAGTTAGGAACATATAGTGTCTAGTAAAATGTGGTGGGGGTAGTGGGCTGGTGTTGGCGGTCCGCACGGTGTGTGTGGGGTTGCGTGCGGCGCGGCCGTGCGTGCGTGCCGTGGCATGCGCGCGCGCGCGTGTGTGTGTGTGTGTAGCTGTGTTGGTCTGTTGTGGTGTGTTTGTGTGCGTGCGTGCGTTGCCGTTGCGCGCGCGGTGCGTGTGTTTGTGCTATGAGTTTTTTTTCCTTGTGGTTTTGTTTGGTGAAAAAATAGGGGGGGTTGTCTCCTCTCCTTTGGACCGCTCCTCCTTCCTTGCCGATAGTGGGTCTCCCTCTCTCTTCTCTCTCCGCGGTCTCTTCGTTGTGATGCTCTCCGCTGCACACACACACACCACACACACACACACCACACACACAGCACACGACACACACACACGCACATATACACACCACACATGCACACGCATACACAGCACACACTAACGACACACACACTTGTGTGTTAACACACACATCACACAACACACACCACACACACACACACACAAAACACACACACACACACACACACACACACACCAGCACACACACACACACACACACACACACCGTTTAATTACATTTATACATGCATACTAACAATGCGACGCACATGGCAAAATTTGACAACCGTACGTTTTTGGCCACAGTGCCGTAGCTACTGCCAGTGCTAGGGGTTGGGGCATGCCCGCCCGGTCTCCTCGATAGTGGTATATAATTGTGGTGATTGTATATGTTAAGCCATTTTTGCGGCCAATATTTGAGCCGTTTTGGGGGGGCGGACCGCCCCCACCCCCTCCCCCCCTGGCTACGCGGTTGTCCTGTGGCTTGGCGCTCTCGCTCTATCGCCTGCTGCTGCTTTTGGGAAGGTGTTTAATTGATGGATTGCCACTTGATTGATTAGCCCAATGACTCTGATGGTGGAGGCGAATGTGTGTGTTTTGTCAACCTCCTAGTGTGCGGATTAACTCTGGGCAAGTTTGTGGGTCGCGGGGGAGGATTTCATGTGGAATCCTAAATTGGGATAAGTGTTATATAACGTATATATTGACAGTGGCTATTAACGGAAGCCCATGTTGCGATTGTCGGTAATTAAAATTCTGGCCGTGTCCCGAATTATATAATATAATAATCATACTGAAATGTTACAGCAAGAAGAAAACTTGGAAATTCATCAATAACAGCCACACCTATCGATCTGG